TTTGGGGCTGGGGTCAAATATTAACTAACGACAGACTATCAGAATGTACTTGCTTTGATTCAGGGCAGATTTTGCTCACGCTCCCTGTGAGCAGGAATCATGAGGAATCACTGAGTGTTTTTCAGTGAGCTGGTCCTCGGCATTTCAGGATGGACTTTGGTCAGTTGTGTCTGACTTTCCCGAGCATGAATAGGTCATCTAACATCCTTGGCCCCTGCTCACTACCAGTCAGTAAGCAGTATGTCCCCGTCACGGTGACAGCCTGAAAATACTCACACATTTGCAAAAGCCCTTGAGAGGAACAGCGCAACTAAACCTGGTTGAGAACCTTAATTAGAAAGTATTCTGTAGAGTGCTGTTAACCAATTATCTGAATAAGTTAAGGCAAAGGAGAACACTCCCCCTGTTACGTGCATTTGAGTAAGGGGCTTCTTCATCCGCCCTCTTCCTGATGGGTCTGGGAGGACCGCCGGGAAGGCGTGGGGTTGGGGCAGGCAGGCCCAGGAAGGTGAATGGTCTCTGCTGGAGAGAAACCTGATTCCTGTTCAACAAAATAGAATTTGTACTCAGCTATAGGGAAGAAAAAATTAAGATCAGGGTTTGAGAGCCCCTCAAAAACAAAATGCCTTTCTCTCTCAAACATTCCTAGGGCCAGAGCTCTGCTTTGTTTCTCTGTCAGTGTCATGCTTACCTGTTTTGTCCATATATGCCCTGCGTGTACACCCTCCCCACCCCACACAGTGTCAGGACTGGGGCAATGATTGTTATTTATTTCTAGCATTTTGTTCTCTCTGCTCTGTATCCAGTCTGGTGCTCATCTCACAGAATTATAATCCAAATTGTTTGCATTGTGTTCTGGATAAAAATTGTTCCCAAACCATCTCTATTATAGCTTGTGCTCTTGGTGGTAACCACACTGCCTTGATTCTTTCACTGGAGAATGAAGAAACTAGGTTGGGTTATGTTTCCTAGGCGAGGTGGTGGTGGTGATGATGATGATAACCAGGGAATGGGTAAATGTATCGAGTTTATGTGTCAGGCACAGTTGTTAACAATATACAGTCAGCCCTCCATATCCACAGGTTCCACATTGTCAGATTCAACCAACCGAAGATCGAAAATATTGGGTGGTGGGGAAAGGGCCAGAAAGTTCCAAAAAAGCAAAACTTGAATCTGCCATGCCCTGGCAACTATTTGTATGGAATTTATATTGTATTACAACTGTTTGTATAACATTTACCTTTTATCAGATATTAAAAATAACCTAGAGATGATTTAAAAATGCAGGAGGATGCGCATAGGTTAGACACAAATACTACACCTTTTAATCTAAGGGACTTGAGCATCCTTGGATTTCAGTATCCGTAGGAGATCCTTGAACCAATCCCCATGGATACCGAGGGATGAATGTATATTTTAACTCATTTAATTCTCAGATAATCCAGGAGGCGTATATCATGACCCCATTTGATGTTAAAAAAGGAAACAAACAAAACTGAGGCGTGGAGACGTTAATTAAGTTACGCAAGCAGATAAGCTGTAGAGCTGAGTCTGCCCCTATGGGTGCAAAGCAGACCACATGAACAAGAGAAGTGGGTCAGATCCTGGGAGGTGAGCAGGGCGGTGGGGATGGTGGTGATGTGGGGCACTTACTCCCTGCGTGAGCTGGACCCCACTCACCTCCATTGTGGTCAAGCAGGAAGGTGGCCTGGTTCACTGGTACCCAACCTTCTGACTTCTTTCAAGGATGCAGATAATCTGCAAAATCCCTCAGTTTTAAAAGACTGGCTCAATGAAAAAATACTCCAAGACCTACATGAAACACTGATTTCTGCCAGAGGAGCACATCTCCGTGTCTCTGGCCATAAGTTTTTCCTATCAAAACAAAAACTAGGCTCAAGTCAAAATCCAAACTCTTGACTTCAGGTAACTTGTGAGATGGAGTATGCCGGATTTTCTCCCTTCTCTTTTGGCTCCAAGAATGTTTCTCTTTCTGTTTTCTCGAGTCACAAACATCTGTTTATGGCCATCCAGCTAATTGGGTCCCATTGAGTGTTCTAATGAGGGCAGAGCGAGCAAACGAGTGGGTTTAATGCCCGTGGAAATGCATGTTTCTAATTGTGCATCCAGTGAAGGTGGAAAGGTTAAAGTAATGAGCTGCTCTCGAGAGTGCTGGCCAAGAGAGAGACGGCTTTGTTGTTTCACATTCCATCTTTGTTATTGTCACTGAGATGTGCACTTATTTCCACCATGGCATTGATTGCCAAGAGGCTCTGCTATTACGTTTCATTATCATGCCATTTCTGAAGGAAGGGAGTCTGTTCTCACTAAGCAATGACAGTGTGCAGGCAGTCGTAATCACCCGTCTCTCCGCTGCACTCCCCAACATCTTGTGTACAGCTGTGAAGGGCTGTATTAGTGCCAATTAATCTGGGGGAGGTTTCCTGAACGAAAAGGGTGCTGTGCTGTGCAAAGGGATGGTCCCTGAGTTTCCCAAGTGGCATTTCTAGAGAAGACGTGGTAACTGAGAGGGGCAGACAGACAAGGAGACTGTCAGTTTTAAGTGTGAGGAAGGGATCGACCTCTCTAGACGGTTCCTCTCACCCAGTGTTCCCAAGTAAGCATGGAGGCAGGGTCCAAATCAAAGGGCTGGATTTAGACTCTCTAATCCAAGGCGTTAGAGCTGGAACTGTGTGTTGTTTAAAGACCTTGCAAAGGCCCGCTTTAGTTGAGTCACATTCAGTTAATTTAGTGACCGTTAGTGCTGAAGATGAGTTACTGTTTTAGAAATGAAGGGAGACCAAAATGTTGGGACCCTGGGGCCACAGGATAATTGTAGGAGGAAGGAAGAGGAGGAAGCTTCTACTTTCAATGTTGATGAATATCTTACATTTTCAAACTGTCATAAAATAAATAGAATCATGGCTTATGTTTCAGAATTCAAGGTTCTGACTGTTAAGCATTTATCCCCAGGATATCTTCTTTCTGCCTCCCTCACTGATCGCGGTGTGCTTACAAGGGCCTCCTCAAAGTTCACACTTTGAAGATATAAGTATCTCATTTAGATGATTTGGGGTTAGAATAGTATATAAATCCTGGTATTTGACTGTATTTTCAAATTCAAGGGAAATGAGATGAAACTCCAAACCCCTTATCGGGGCTGACCTGGCCTGGCCCGACAGGGTCCCTGCTGGCCAGCTCCGCAGGGCTGTTTCATGCCTGTGTTCCCGCCCCTCTTACTCTCTTTTAGCCACATGGGTCTTCTTTCAGGTTCTTGACCCTTCTAAGTTGATTTCTGCCTCTGCAACCTGGCACATCCTCTTCCAAAATGCTCCCCATCCCCCCATTTCTGCTTAGTGCTTTCCTCTTATCTGTTCAGTCTTGGCTTAAATATCACCTCTTCTGAGGGATTCCTCTGATCATTTCACTGATGGACTGTTCCCCTCCCTACCCCCCAGTATGTCCATCCATGCCCCATTAATTTCTTCGTAACATTTCTACAAAAACTTACTTTTTTAGTGGTTTTTTTTTTGGGGGGGGGTCTTCCCCACTAGACTGTGAGCTTTCACAAGAATTACAATTCTCTTGTTCCCTGTATCTCCAGTATCTGGCTCATAGTAGGTCATCCATAAAAATGTAAGGGGACAATTCAAAAGATACAAAATCAAAGGATTCAGTGTTAGTTGTTTCATTTTGAATTTTCCAATCTCTGTCTTCTATGCCAATTACTTAGCAAGAGGGCTCCTGGACCAGGTAACAGTTAAGAGGTGGATTTTCCTGTTGGTCACTGCCTCAACTCTCATTTCCTAGGAACAGAGATTGATGTAAAGCTTAGCTTTATTGTAGATGGAGAGTAAAGGGAATGAGGCAGGGAAAGAGGGAAAGCAAATATAAGGTATGTTAGTGGAGCTGGCCACGAGAAAACACACCCTGGAGCATTGTCCTGTGGTTCATTTCTGGTTAGACTTCCTGGACGTACTCTCCCGTGGAACAGTGCTTTGGGTGCAGGAAGCAAAGGTATCTGCTGGCTCCTTTCTGTCTTCTGTCTCTCATTCGCCAAAGTTTGCCCCATGAGCATCAGCTCCCCCACTCCTCTGGGTTTTGCTAATTGCTCCTCTGGGAATTTGCTGGGAAGTCAAACCCAGCGACACACATTGCCCTGCAGCACCAGGCTTGGTCTGGGTCCAGATGTGGTGGGAGGAGCCAGCGCCTCCAGGTATCTGGTTTGCTTGGGCTTAAGGCTCCCCCAGCCACAGGGGGTAGTGGAGGCCAGGCCCAGGTGAGTCCTCATCTTAACAGAGTTAGAGGTAACCGGTGGGATTCAGAGGTGGGGCAGCCAGCTGGGACTCTCTACTGAGTAACTGGCCAAGGACGTTGGAGACAGGTAGAAGTGGACAAATCAGACAAAGTACATACATTGGATCCAGGAGACTCCCTCTCAGTTCCTGGGCACTTGTGATTTTAGACAAACTCACGGCACAGGAGCCTGAATTATTTTATTGGAAAAGTGATCACACTTTTCTAAGTTTTCACCCATAACCTTCAGAAACATTTCTTCAATTAACTGGCACTGACTCCCATCTGGGATGGAGATATATATATATATATATCAGAAAGACACTTAATTATGCAAATATGAAGGCAAACAAATATGTATTTTCTACAAAACAAATCATAGTTACCTGAAGTCCTCAGCATCTCTGGTCTCTCTTACACACACCCCTGCGGGTGTTCTCCTCCTGACTTGGGCAGCTGCACACTTAGTTATTTTTATTCATGCCTAGGGAGCTGGAAGCTTTCTCATGCCAAGCCTGATCTCCTTTCTGGCCTCCAGTACTAGTTATATAAGCCTTGCCTGGGGCTTCCTCTTGGGTATGAGACCTTTGTGGTTGCACAGGACTCCGTGCTCAGAAGGGCCCCATACTTGGTTTAATACTCAGTCATCAGAGTCTTGAAACTCTCAGTAATTTTGCCTTTGAACTTGTGTTTTCTAAATGAAGTCCGATAGTCAATGAAGCATGCCCTTGAGCAGAGGAGAGAATTGCCACATGCGTGTCCGTCATGCTGTTCCTTGTGGTAGCCTACAAGCCCAGAATTCTATACATCCATAATGCATGCGAGTTCAATGAGAGTCACAGTACAAGGTAAGTGTATTATGTCTATGACTGTGTCAGCGAGGACACTGATAGCCCTAAGTGGCCATACGTCCTGTTGGAAACAGAACTCTTTTTTTGTATGCAGTGGTGTTCTAAGAAACATGCACATCCAAAGAACTCTGTCATATCCTTTTTTATCATTGCTACTTTTCTGCATTAGTCACAAAAATTTTTATTTTTCTCTACTGAGAATGACATTGTATAGCAAAACCCCCAAAATCAAACAAAACCACTGTAACAAGTCAGAGAGAGATCACAGGAGAAAGGCTTTATACTACTTTAGTACCATTAACAGCACCTTTTCTCTGCTTTTTGAACAAAAGGCTCCACATTTTATTTTGCCCCATGCCTTGCAATTTTTATAGCTTGCTCTGCCTTTCTCTATGGACTGCGTGAGTGTTGGCAAGGAGTCCCATTTGTCCTCTGATTTCCTGTCCTTGGGCATTGAGTGGGGAGCCAGTGAATCAATGGGGACTTTTGGTGACAACTGAAGGCTATCACACCCTGCCCACAGTGAAGGAGTGTCTTCAGGAGCTCCTAAAGATGCAGATCCTGAGGCCAACCTTCAGCTCTTCCAAGAAGGTCTGAAGGTTGGTTGGTTTCTCAGAGAATGACTAGGGTATAGGTAATTAGGGATTCCTGTACAGATATATGGGGCTTAAACTTTATAATCTTCTCTGCCATCTATTTGACAATAAGATGATGATAAAAAGGCATTTAAGCTGCAATTCTCTATTTGATAATAACTTGATCTTTTTTTTTTAAATTGAAGTACCATCAGTTACAATGTGTCAGTTTCTGGGGTACAGCACAATGTCTCAGTCATGCATGTATTTACATATATTTATTTTCATATTTTCTCATTAAAGGTTATTATAAGATATTGAACATAGTTCCCTGTGGTATACAGCAGAATCTTTTTTTTTTAGTATCTATTTTTATATATAGTGGCTAACATTTGTAAATCTCAAACTCCCAAGTTATCCCTTCCCACCCCCTTTCCCCAGTAACCATAAGATTGTTTACTATGTCTGTGAATCTGTTTCTGTTTTGTAGATGAGTTCATAGTATCCTTTTTTTTTTTCAGATTCCACATATGAGTGATACCATATGGTATTTTTCTTTCTCTTTCTGGCTTACTTGACTTAGAATGACGATCTCTAAGTCCATCCACGTTGCTGCAAATGGCATTATTTTATTCTTTTTTATGGCTGAATAGTATTCCATTGTATGAATATACCACCTTTACCCAGTCATCTGTCAATGGACATTTAGGTTGCTTCCATGTCTTGGCTATTGTATATAGTGCTGCTATGAACATTGGGGTGCAGGTATCTTTTTGAATTAGAGTTCCTCCAGATGTATACCCAGAAGTGGGACTGTTCGATCATAGGGTAAGTCTATTTTTAGTTTTTTGAGGAATCTCCATACTGTTTTCCACAATGGCTGCACCAAACTACATGATTTTTTTCCACTCAAAATACTAATTCTATCCTCTGAAGAGGCTGTAGAGTGAAACGTACACTATAGGCCAGACTCTGGAGCCAGTCTGCCTGGGTTTGACCCAGCTCTTTCTTAGCTGTGTGACTTTGAACAAGTCACTTAACTCTCTGTGCTTTGGTTTCCTTCTCTGTAAAATGGGAATAGTAACTGTGTTTCAGGAGTAAACTGTATTTGCAGGGTTGTTGCAGGAGTTAAATGAGATTAGCTGAGATTAATGTGTATAAAGCTTAGTGCCTGGAAGATTCTCTTAGTAAATGTCAGCTATTGTTGTTGTCATTATTATTATTTTTTGGTATCTCTGTGGGACTCTCTTCCTAGTTAGGCTGCCAGCTCTGTGGAGACTGGAACCTAAGTATCTCTGACATTAAATGTGAGCACACTAGCCATTCTAGGTACTCAGTAGACATCGTAGTTGGTTAATTACATGGTGTTTTTTCCATTTGAAGTAAGCTGTCCTTCGCAAGTGAAAGATTTATTCTTTGTGGTGAGAAAAGAGGTCTCCTGGAGACAGTGGCCAAACCAAAGGTCATCTTCTCACCTGTGTGGTGAGGAGGATGCAGGTTTTGTTCCAGGAGACTCACAAATGCTGAACCAACAAAGATTAGCGAGCATGAGAAACACAGCTTTGAATATTTCCAATTTAGAGTGAGTGTCTGGTGGTTTGCCGATGCCAGCGGTACCTCAGCTGTTCTGCTGCTTCCTCACCAGGCACTTTTTCTGTGGCTCCTCAGGATGGCGGAAAGGGGCGCAAGAGTGGGGCCTTCAGCAGACTCCGAACATGTTCACTTAGAAGGTGCCCTGCTGTATGTTACTAGGTATTGGTCAGAATATGCAGAAGTATTCAAACACGATGGAAAATGAGCTCTATTTCTTATCTTACTAAGCGAGTAGTGTTTTTGCCACAGAAGCAGAGAGCCCAGGCAGAGCCATTTAATGATCCTGGTGGTGGCCTCCCTGTAGGATGAGGTGTGTGTGACAGGCAAGCTGAGCATCTGGGGGAGGCCTTCCAGGCACTTCCTTCCTCCAAGTTCCCACAAACTGTCTCCTTCAGGCTGACAGATCTCCACTTCTCACTTTCCACCTGAGAGAGGACGGTCTCACGCTTGCACCCGCCCCGCAGGTGTGCTCACCTCTACTGAGGCAGGAGACCACCAAGTTGGGGTGGAGGGCAGAGGGCGTCAGGCATGCATGCGTCTGCAAGGCGGGGTCTCTGATAGCAGTGCTGTCCCTTCAAAACGGAAGAAACTGAACCCCACTTTTACTACATGAGAAGGTGCTTCCTGACACATTTCTCCTCTGTGAAGGTCTTATCCTGGGGCAGAACAGCGCTCACAAGAGGGCGAGGCCCCGTGAGTGCCCCGTGAAGAGAAGTATCCGATCGTAGCCCCAGAGCAATCTATCTGTGGGACCTGAGGTGAACGTTTTCCCCTTCGTTTCCTTTCCTTTTCTTCCTTCACTTTTCCATTTTATTACTCTGATTCTTGTTACTTTTCTCCTTCCCTTCGCCTCTTTTTCCCCAAAGGAGTGAAGTGTAGTTATTAAAATACAGACCTTTTCTAGGTCTGTAAACAAACATGGTTACCAGAGGCAGAGGGAGTTTGGGGTTAGCAGACGCTACTGTATATAAAACAGATAGACAGCAAGGTCCTACTGCGTAGCACAGGGGGCTCTATTCAGTAGCCTGTAATAACCTATAATGAAAAAGAACATATGTTTGTACGTACAACTGAATCACTACACTGTACGCCAGAAGCTAACACAACATTGTAGACCAACTGTACTTCAATCAAAAAAAAAGGACTGAACATTGTTGAATATAAAAAGCAAACAATCAAACAAACAAAAAACCGCAGGCCTAACAAGAGTGGGACCACCTGGATATGGATACAAGCTGCACCACTTCCTAGCGGGGTGACAGAGGACTAGGTCCTTGCTTTCTTTGTGTCTTAGTTTCTTCACTATGAAACGAGGCCAATGCAACAATCTCCCTTGTGTGGAACAGTTCCAGGGTACACCACCCACATTGTATGCTACCACCCTCCAGGACCGGTGGTTGCCACAAGCTCTACTCTTTGGTTAAGAGTGGTGACCTTTCCGGGGCCAGATAGCCACCCCCAGATCCTCTGCAGAAAGCCTGCAGGACCTTGTGCTGGCATCTCATGGTACAAACGGCGGCCCTTGGGTTATGCAACACAGCCTCACTGCTGTGACAATTTAGTGCACGAACACAACTAACGCTCTTCGAAGAGTAAATGGAACGTAGTCGGTGTCTGTGCTCACCAAGCGTTGGCCGTCGCTCCTTGACGTCTAGCCCCCAAACGCTCATAGTGGGCAGGGGTGTGCGTGTCCTCACCGACGGCGCTCTGTGGTCATCCTCACATGCAGGGAAGCCTGCACTTCTAAATCTCTTTCAGCTTTTAAAAAAACTATTCTTTGATTTTTTAAACATTATACCATTCTTGTCTAATGGGTTCAATATCCAATCTTTCTGAGAATATTAGCAATAACTTTTATGAAATTTTCTTCTCTTGCGTTGCTTTTACCTCCATGTGGTTTTTAAATGTTCATTTATTTGAATCTCCCACTTTTCACATTAGATATATTTACTCAAAGTTCAGAGAGTTATGTCTTTGCTCCTCTTTAAGGGTTGGGCACTGCAGAGAGAGCTAACTGCAAAGTCTGTGTGTGTTCCTGAGGCCAAGTGTGGGCTGAAGACCAGGATGATCTGTTTCAGTCGTTTCACTGGGGCGGCACCGATGTCAGTATCTTTGGGCCTTTTTCCTTGGGGTATTCATGTTTTCTAGAGGAGGATATTGTAATGTCTTAGTGGAGGAAATACTCCAGGTTCCCACAAGGCAAATATGGACAGAGAGCTGGAAAGCAGAGGTTCTGATTTCAGCGTATCCCTGACCTTGACTAAGCCTGGTGTCCTTCAGCTCAGAGATCCTCTGTTTTCCCACTTCTGGAGAATAAACATTTGTTTTTATTTTCCATGGTAAGGGGCAGTGGTCACCTGGCTCTTATATATATTGAAGTATGTATTTAGAAATCTCATGAGGATTATCAATCAATAATCCATTTATTAGCTCAACCTTCACCTCTTTATCCAAAAAACCCTGGATGCTGCCAATTCCTGAACCTCTTGGAGGTTCTGTGGCATAAATATGGCTTCTTCTTGTCTTTCCGTATTGCTGACTTAGCAGTAAGCTTTACTGGGTCTGTTAACTCTGTTCCTCTCATTCGTTTTCTTCTGGCATCCAGAATTTTGTTGCTTCTGTCTTCTCCTCTATTCCCTTGGTCTTGTGGGTTTATGATTTTTAAAATATCTCTTTGCTGTCATTCTAGTCAAGGGAGCAGAGATAATACAATAAGCTGCCATTCTTAACCAGAAGTAAATACACAAAACCCTTGATCTTCACATTTCTCTGAAATATGCTTGAAGAATTTTAAGTGAAACCAGATTGATTTCGGTATCCATTAAAATC